TTTGTTTTGTCATAAAAAACGGTGGTACGTACTGACGCGTTTCTCCTCTTCTTTTCAGACCCTCATCTTGGAGGTGGAGAGGAGGTGGCGTGAACAAAAGAAGGCGGCCACCTTTACCAAATAGCGAAGAAGTATAAATAGGTTCATGCCAAGCATCAGGCGTTGGCAGACATGCTTAAGCAGGACCCCCAGTTCCGGACGTTCCGTGAGGGCCTTGAGGAATTAGAGGCTCTTTTGAAGAAGAGAACGGCTGAGCTGAAGGAGATTGATGAGCAGCTGATGGTTGCTTTGGCTCGAAATATCGAGCTGGAAAACCCTCCTTCAGTCAAAAGAGGAAGACTTGGAGATAAGCCGTGGGGTGGCGGCGGAGGCTGCGGAACTGCGGGCCCAGGTCACGGCCCTTACCGCTGAGCCTGATGCTAGGACGGTCGAAGTTGAGGTTCTCAGGCGAACTGCCCCACAGGATGCCGTGCATCGTGAGGCGCACGAGATGTGGGTGTATCATGACGCCAGGTTGGTCGTTTTTGAGGAGTTTTTGGCGGCAGGTCGAGCTTCCGAGGCGGAAGTTGAAAGGCAACGGAACTTGACCCGTGTTGCCCGTGAAGAGGCCGGTTATAGCTCCGACTCGCCTGGTAGGGACGGCTGTAATTCTGAGGACGTCAACCGTTTGGACTCCAGCTCGTGGATTTCCCAGGCTTATCAGTCTGGAGACGGCGACGGACCAGACGGTGACCCGGCGGGTCGTGACGGGAGGGGTGGTGAAGGCTCTTAGGGCTTGTATGTATATAGATTTCTTGTGTAGATGGGGCCTTTTTTAAGGCCAGTTATATGTATATCTTTTGGAGATAAATGAAATATGACTTCTCTTCCCCCTTTTTTTTTGTGTCACTGTTTTTCTTTCGTTCTTTAGAGCTTTTGTTGCGCTTTTTGTTGACCGTCGGCGTTGGCGGCCCTAGTTGAATTTAGATCGACGACTTTAGTTGTGATGGAATCGACGGCCTTAGCCATAAAGGCAACTTTGACTGTTGTCGAGTCGTTTACCCACCGCAGTCGAATCTAGGTCGACCGTTGGCGGCGATGGCCTTAGCCATAATATAGTTTATGGCCTTAGCCATGTAGGTGACTTCGACTATCGTCGAGTCGTTTACTCACCGTAGTCGAATCTAGGTCGACCGTTGGCGGCGATGGCCTTAGCCATAATATAATTGATGGCCTTAGCCTTTCACACATTGGAGATGGCCGTAGCCTTTCATACATTGGAGATGACCGTAGCCTTTCATACATTGGAGATGGCCGTAGCCTTTCATACATTGGAGATGGCCGTAGCCTTTCATGCATTGGAGATGGCCGTAGCCTTTCATGCATTGGAGGTGGCCGTAGCCTTTCATACATTGGAGGTGGCCGTAGCCTTTCATACATTGGAGGTGGC